GAATCCCTAAACTGCTCATTTGATACACCAAATCCAAAGTCGAAATTAGCCCATTCACTCCCACCTTTAGGCTCCTGCTCCATATCCATCTCATAATCGGACTCCACCAAACCTTCGACTTCCTCATCCGCCATTGGTTCTTCATCCTGATCCTCAACTTCCTCATCCCCCCTTGGTTCTTCATCCTGATCCTCAACTTCCTCATCCCCCCTTGGTTCTTCATCCTGATCCTCAACTTCCTCTTCCACCCTTGGTTCTTCATTCTGGTATTCTAAGGTTTGCTCGAACTGTGACCACAACTCGTTGGCATTCTCTTGCAAACATTAGTCTGACCAATTTCCTTTATGCTCCCCCACTTCGACTTCTCCGACTGAAGGTATATAACAACCCTCGAATGTTTGGTCTTTATCTGCTTCTGAAGACCAAGGCCGCAAAGGCAATGCATATGTTGCATTCGGGCTACGACGTATATTTTCACATCCGGATGTCCATCCCTGTCAAGAAGCATTCCCCTAACATCCTCTTCAGTCTCCAATCTCGTCAACCCTCTCCCTAAACTCATTTTTTGCTTCTTATAGTAAAATTTCAACACTCTTTCATCACAAGTTTCGTGTAAGAATTTGTGCAAATTCTCTTTGGTGCACCATTTACCGTGAAAGTAGTCGACGAAAAGAATGAAACCCCCTTCATATGCCATATTGTTTGGCTTATCAAAAAATTGTCCTCCATAACGTACTTCGAGAGTGAAATATTCAGAATTTTTACCTGCAGGCAATGTATAAAGATCACTTCAAATAGATAAAACTGACTGCACGCCAAATGGAAATATGCATAGTGACAGAAGAATTGGGGAAAATGCACAATGGAATCAGATTAGTTCACACACAAATTTAGATGAGAGCAGTTTGGAATTTTCTTGAATCCCTGTGAAACGTTCGCACTTTGCGGGAAGAGAGGAGATGAAGGGTTTCAACGGTGATGACTATTTTACCCTTGTATATTGGTATTAAAAATCATTTTTGTAGTTCATGGACGGAAAATTAGACGGAATGTGGACGGAAGGACGTCCAGCGCACAAAACGTTGAAGATAAGGGCATAAATGCCAAGAAATGAAAGGTAGGGACGTTCGAAATTCACCCCAAAGGTAGGGACGTTTTGTGCTAATTAGCCTTTCATTAATTTTTATCAACATTTACAAAAAATCTAATTTTAATCCCCACATATATATTTCATACCCCCTGTTTTATGGAAATTAAAATCAGATTTTTATTAATTTTTTATAAAATTGATAAAATGTGTATTTGAAAAGTTGCTAGTCCCATGAAATATTCGATTCAAATTAATTATTAACATTAATTTAAATATTAAAATTTTAATTTTAATCCGCCACCATTAGGGGCATAGTGTATGTATCAGATAGTAATATTTGATTATTAAGAACAATTAAAATTTTAACAAATATGTTCAAAAAGAGAAACTAATTCGGCGAAGAAATGTTGCTCTAAAACTTTTGTGGTTTTAAAGCTACATTAGTCAATTGTTGCACTATCCACTTTATATTTATTCCTGATTTGTTTAGCTAAAAAAATTAATAAAAATTTGTGTTAAAGTCGACAATTAGTTTTAATCATACATAAACTTTTATCAATTTTTTATCTACATATTTTATCAAAGTTTATCAAAATCTACTAAATTTTTTTTGACTCGATGCATCTTTCTTGGCCATTTACTGACTGGCTGGATTTTTTTCTTTCCGACATGGAGAGATTGCCTCGACTTTAGTCGAGATGGCTTTAGTCCATCCAAATCGATAGGAAAGGAAACACTCTGCTTCTTTCTCCTACCATTGTTTGACCCATTCCCGTTCTTTTTTCGTTGAGATTGGATGGGTGTGTAAGGGTACGAGATCGAAAAGAATGTGAAGCTTTTCACGAGAAATTTGAATTTGCTGCTTACTTCCTGTAGTAGGTTTTATGGTAGGTTTTATGGGGACCTCAGATAGTTCAAACGGCAAAAGAGAGGGTTCCCTAACTTGGACATGACGATTTGAAAGAGCACATAATGGATTCGATTCTACATATTCTTTTTGCAAAGCTCAATTAGTATTTAATTTATTTTTAATTTGCCAATTCATTTGTTTCTTTCAATACACAAAAGTTTTATTTTTCTAAATTTTGTACAGCACTACTCATGGCTCAACTGTGCATGACATAATAATTAATTCACGTTCAAAGTCTTTCAGACGTATTCATGATAAGTCATGTAGAACATATTGAGAAGATAATAAGTAAAAATCTGTCATATTTTCTTTAACCCTCCAAACTTGTGATCAATGTCTGACTTCCAAAATGGTTGATTTTCTTGTCAAAGTTTAATCTTTTGAACAACTTTTAACATTGTTATTTTAGAATTAGTGGTTACTGAATTCTTGAAAAACGATGATCATCGCTAAACTTTCATTTCATCTACTTATGTTAGTTTAACAGAGAATCTGATGAGGTAGTCTGACGCCGGGTAAATTAGTGATTATTCTGCAGGCTAATTCTACCAGCAAATTTACAGGGAAGAATACAAGATTAACGCCAAAAAAATACAGATAAAACGTCTTTGAAGTTTAAAGAATTTTATTATATCACGCAATGATGAAAATAAATCCACAAGCCGGACCTTATAGCTGAAATCCGAATTTTACCAAAAATGGCGAAATTCCAAAAATCATGTCAAGCGAAAATATGGAATAAAATAAGTATTCTGAAAAAAATCTAGCCCAAATCGGGTTAAAAATCATCTCCTAACGTGCAATCGAAATATTACCAAAAATAGCAAAAAATAACTTAAAATAGCAATTCGGAAGGGAAAACAGCTGAATTTGAGGATGAAAACGGCACACACCGAGCATAGCTGGGTGGCTACGACGTGCGCGCCGAAACGAGCTTTCCCGATTGTGGTCATGATCGCGATTCTGATAATCGTAGCCAAAGTTATGGCCAAATTACCGAAACAGGACTTAATTGCCAAAGTTACACGATCACTTGCCATCCTTGCCACAATCTGCCAACGCGTGATACCTTAGAGCCATTAACGTATTATCTGACAACTCAGCATCTGACTCGAACCCTCCTGCATCATAGTCTTGCTTGTAAATAACTACGTCTAACGTCATTAGTTGTACTAATAGGCATGGATGGCGTGTCTAAAATAACAATTAATTTTAATAACACATTTTATTGAATTAACAACTTTTCAATCGTACAGTTCATCAATTTTTATCAAAATCTACTAAAGTTCCAACTTTTAGTTACACCAACTATACAAGAATAATTACTAAATTAGCAAAATAATAATATTGGTAATTAACATAAAATCTCGATCCCCATGCTTAACCATAATGTGTGTGTATCATTTCACAAAATAAATAAATAAAATGTGTCCTCGAATATATGCATGTGTACACAAGTAGATATACATTTAGTGTCTGTTTGATTTTGCTAAAAATCGATGTTTTAGTATATTTTGATAAAAATAGATTAGATTTGTAGTTGAAAAGTTATGAAAATTGTGGTTCTAATTTGATTCAAAGTTAAGTTGATAAAACTAAACAAAAGCATAATCAAAAGGTGTGAATTGAAAGAGAATAGTATGAGGGATTTCTCTTATCCAGTTTCCACAATTCCGCGTTAGTTGACATATGACGCAGCAACATGAATTAACAAGTCAAAATAATTCGTACATCTACTGTTTTGGCATTACTCAGATCATGCAGTTACTGATCAGTTTCCCTCACGTTCTAAGTCAAAACAGTAAGCGCAATTTAATGTATTTATTGTTTAATAAAAGCGCAATCTCATCTTCTATCTGCAGTTCCATGCATTTCCCTCCAATAATTATATGAGTTATTCTTCAAACTCTTCTCCTCACAAGTCTTATGAAAATTAAAACGTATAGATTTTATATGCAGAATTCAAGGAAGAAAGAGACGACGGGAAGTGTTTATAAACTATTTAAATTATACATAGATAGAAATGAGTAATGAATTAGTAGGTAATATTCGTGCGCTACTTAAAATATGTGGATAAAAAGTGTTTATAAACATGAACGAAGATATACTAATACTAAAGAAGTATATAGTTCAGGTTACTCAGTAAGAAAGACTCGAGATTCGACCGCATGCGTAGGGTCTTGTTAGAGATGGATTCACGTACGAGACTGATCTTCTTGGAAATGGTAAAATAAGAAGTTCTAATGGTAAATGATATTAACAATATTATATTTATTTAAATTTAGTATTCTAGACGGTGCAAATATTACAAAGTTTGTACACCTACGTCGAATAACCTATATTGTGGCAACAGCAACCCAATTTGCTAAACATCCTACAGGAACTGAGAGTGCTCCGATTCCCATACAGATACACCATTGTTTGGAGTTTAAATTTCCCCTGTGAGCAATAATGGCCATGATCTCAATCAACCCCACCTCAAGAACAACAATGATCATCCCCACTACACTTAAAACTGGTAAACAGTTTTTATGGACAAGAGTCTTCTTTTTCTTGAACAACACCATGGCTGTGATCAAACTGAAAACTTGACAGAATGCGTAACAGCTATTGATCATGTTTTTCAACACTGATTCATCAGATTCGCGAAAAAAAACTTTTCCCTTCATTTCTAGGATCGTTAGAGTTGTGATTTGGAACAAGGATTGAACTGCTATGTTTCTCCACATTGTCCCGGTTATGAAAGGATCACCTGCACCGA